TATGTCATATTCGTCTACTTTCACAGTACTCACCTCACCTCTTTTCTAATTTTGTACCTTCGTTTTTGATACACTCTTCTTTTCCCTCCCCCCTCTCGACTTTCTTTATCTTTGATGTTCCTTCCTCTTTGTGAAGCCAGTTGTCAACTAAAGGGCTAATGATAACCATCAANTGGGAAAAGTATACTAAACGATTATACTGAGCCCTTTAGAGTTCTAATTTCACCCCATGTCACTAGTAAGATATCCATTTTATTTATGATGTTAAGTATGATTTACTAAAACTGGAAGGCTCTCAATTGTTTAATAAAAGCCATATTTTTACTTACAATAAAATCCAGCAAATAATAGTGCAGGAAATATTCAAGGCCCAAAAATCTTCAACTCGAATTCAAAATAAGATACACAAAAAAGGGTTCATGTACGTTTAAACAATATCAAATTCTATTTTTCCGTATTGTTGTTGCATTCTATATTAGATAAAATGGGGTGTGCGATAGACTTACCTCCACGTGGTGCACCCTGGGCAACGTATACTCATGCGGCAAAAATTCTATTAATCGACAGTTGACTTCTCACTTCAAACAACCATCACCCCCACTGTATGTCATATTCGACCCCTACCATTACTCATCTTACACTTTCTGAGCATTTGTGTCTGTTTCTTTCACATCTTTGAAACACAATTCTATTCCCCTCCTGAATTCTTTTCACTTTGATGTTCCTCCTCTCCTCTGTGAAGTCCGAAGTCAACTAAAGGGCTAATGATAACAATCAAAACGCCTGCCACTTGTTATAAATATATTAGATAAATGGGGTGTGCGATAGATTTACCTCCCCGCGGTGCACCATGGCAACGTATAATCATACGGCAAAAAAGTCTATTAACCGGAAGTTGACTTTTGACTTCAAACTGTCATGATCCCACACTGTATGTCATATTCGTCTACTTTCACAGTACTCACCTCACCTCTTTTCTAATTTTGTACCTTCGTTTTTGATACACTCTTCTTTTCCCTCCCCCCTCTCGACTTTCTTTATCTTTGATGTTCCTTCCTCTTTGTGAAGCCAGTTGTCAACTAAAGGGCTAATGATAACCATCAAAACGCCAGCCATTTGATATAAATAAATATTAGATAAAATTATATCCTACCAAAAACCCCAATTCAAAGAGATTATTTTTTATCGTAAATAAATAAGAGTTTTATTGTGTTTTATCGAAGGTTTTATCCTTATTTCATTTTAATTCAATTGCCTTGAGATATTGATGTTTTTTCATGAAAGCGCTAATCGCGTCGTACAAAAGTTTTTGATCATCCAATCGTGAATGGTGTGTGGTGGAGGAAAATAATTTATTTAATTTATCTTACCGATTAGCTAACTTTGCGGAAAATAGATGTCAGCTAATATTGTGGGTCTTATATAATTTTTTAGGTTTAGTTTATTTATAAGGCTAATCATATGCATTGTTGGAATGAATGTTGTTATTTATTTGTCATTTTTGTTGGATCCATTTTTGCGTATTCTTTTTAACTTATTTTTCATTGCAGTATTTTCATATCAAGCATGCTATTTTTCCTTAATTTTGTCATCCATTGTAGGTTTAATCAATGCAGAAGATATTCAGTATCGAAACCTACTTGAGTCCGTTGTTGATGCGTTACATTAGTAAATATGTAAAGCTCAGGGACGATCAATTCCAAATTTCTCTCTGGGGTGGAGATGCTGTACTCAATTATGTTGAGCTTCAGTACGATATATTCGAAGATTTGATGCCCCTACCCATTGGTTTCAAATCTGGCTACATTCACGAACTCAGAATACAAGTTCCTTGGACACGATTAGGCTCTTCAAGCATTGTGATTACACTCAATACTGTTGAATGTATTCTAGCCTTCAAACGACCTGGGGAATCACGTCGTTCAAAATCAGAGGCTACCTCAGTGCCTTCTACGGATGCTCTAAACTCTTTGACCGATACGCCCCCTCCACCGAGTTATCTTCAATCCTACCTCTCTCGTATTTGGTCCAATATTGAGGTGGTGGTCAACAACCTAATTCTCAAGTTTGAAGAAGATGATGCTGTTATTTCCTTGAACATCCGCTCACTTGACTGTTTTCCAACACTCCATAACTGGCGACGAGGGATAGAAAACCCCTCTACTGGTAATTACTGCCTGTATCGTCTTCTAAAACTCACGGATATTACCTTATGTATTGACCGTTGCGATTTCAAGGGTAGGGTCAGTGTCTATCAGGATGCAGTCATCTACCGTTACAGTTTCGACATCCGTCTGCAGACGATTTTCACTCAAAATAGCGGTGGCCTAGCATCTATTTGTGTGGCTAATCTCTATAACCCCAAATTAATTGAAATTAATCTCTTTCCTGTTCAAATACCACTTATTGGTAGATTACTGGAAATTCTTCTCGCATTGTCGAACGAAATTCTCAATTGGGATGCCTTATCCGATAGCCAAGTGTTGGGCAAGCAGAAAAGAGATGCCGAAAAGACGAATGGTGTTGATGAGGGCACTGACACAGAACCAACTCAAAGTCAGTCATGGTCCCAGTGGGCTTGGTCTTTTGTTCCCTCAATCCCATCATTCTCTTCCAATCCCTCTGATGAAGAAATCATTGATTACGATCTGGATGAATCGGTTCTAGAATACCTGGATGGTCTTAATGCATGTAAAGCACGAGCGGAGTATATTAAACTTCTCTATGAGGATGCCCTTTCTCCAAGTAGTGAAACCGCTAAATGTAGGCGCGCTCAACTCTTTCGGTTGAGAAAACACCACAATTTACTTCCTGTTCTTATATTAGGAGTTCTTATGAAGGAGATTAAAATTAATATAAAAGTAGGCGAGTTATTTATTAGTCAATGTCCTTCTAGACTGTGCAAAGATCGAATCGATCACCATCTTTTCCTTCACCATCTATATCGGCAAAGAATCTGCGGCGTAATGAGCCAATGCAAGATATGCTTTCACTTACTATAGAGGTTTGCGACCTTAAATGAGGTTGTATAAGTTAGTTTTAATTATCTTAAGTTGATTTTTATTGGATTTTATAGAACCTTGCATTTCAATGCGTCCAAGACGCTGGACATTTTACAAGTCTTCAATGTGCATTTAGAGCCCTACGAATAACCCCATCCGGTGATATCTGTCCGTGTGGTAGAACAAATGCGTCGTTGAAATCAGTAAGCTAGTTTTATCGATATTTCTGATCGGTTTTCCATTACGAATGACCTTATTTAGTTTCATGTTTGTTATTGGTATGTTAATAGTGTGTATGTTAATAGAGTGGAATATAGATTAACTAAAGGGTTTTTTTTAGAATTATAATTTTAAAGAAGATTTGGAGTTTCTCTTTTAGTGGATGTGTAAGCATGAATTCTGTAAAGTTAGAAATAGAAGGTTACCTTTTAGAATACTCTAAAGTAATTGAAGTGTCACTTGTCATATGGCAATTCTTTGAAATAATAAAGAAGTTTCACTTGCGGATTGTATTGCCATGTAGCTTAATTTCCATTTTTGAATCCATAGCAAATCGCGTTTCTATTCTCTTTTGCTTACTTAATGAGTATTGTTTGAGCGCGACAAACTTGGTAATTAATCGATCATAAATAAATCAATGGGGCCTAATATGAGAGTAAGTAATAGAGACATTAATAAAGTGCCTAATAATAGCTTGAGGGACATTTAAGGTAATGAAAATCAATAAAATGAACGGTATCATACTGTAACTGCGTAGTATGCAAAGGGGGGGGGCATTTTCTCTTGTGTTTTTTTTTGTTTTTTTATAATGCTGCCTTTGTATGAATGAATTTAGTCTCCTCATCTATTGGAAATTCGAGCAGAAGGGAATGGAGTTGATGAAAAAGAAGATTCGGAAAAACTACTGCGGACATTCTGTGGACTATTTGAAAGTAGTGAATTAAACTCACTAGTTTCCGGCTTCGAACAGGAACTTGATGCTCGTAATGACGTTGGCAGCTCTCAACCCACCCTGACTAGCTCGCTTATTTTGCCTCCATTTGATCGAGAGGATTATCTTTCAAGATATGGATCTAATTATCCGCAGAATCAACTCCCTCTGTCAATGTGGTTTGATGTAGTTTCCTGCAAAGAATCTGAAAATGAGGTTATTGATGGTGAGTTGTAATCCTCAAGGCTTTTCAAAGTATTAGGAGCTGTTTTTTAATTGCTTATTTTGCGTCCTTTAGAGACCTATGAGAACCTAAACACTGATCCCGCGCAGTATTCGTTTGGGAGGTTTCTATTGGATTCTGTGAAGGTCAACTTTACGCTGCCAATTTCTCATCGAATACAACATTTCCTTCAAATTCTGGCTGATGGATCGAAACACTATAAGCCATGTGCCAATTGGGCTGCTCTAGATGGTTTGTTATTGTTTTTTTTATCATTCATGCAGACATAAGTTCCTTCGCATGTATATTTAATGCTGATGTGGTTTGCGTTAATGTCATATCAATAAGGAACAATAACTTACAACCTGTAAAGCCATAGTTGGAACAGAGCGAAACCTAAGGTGGAATGAGCGTATAGTTGACCATATGTAGGTCAAAGTTACTCTGGAAAATTTCCTATCAAGGGATAGATATCTCATTATAAAACAGTGAATCTTATTGTCTAACAGTGCTCTCCAAGTACTGGGCGAGGGTAAGCGGGATTTGAGAGACTGGTAGAAATAAGATGTCAATTTTTATGTCCTCTGAGATTTTGTATTGAACGTGGGCACTTCAGATTATGTCTAATTACTTGCTTATACAATTTCTAAGGCCATTAGATGAAGCATTCATCACGTCATACCTGAGTAGATGGAAGGTGTCCTGAGCTGGCCTTGGGAGAAACTCCCATTGATCCTTCGTCGATGAACATTGATTTCGTACATGTTCACTACTTTATGGGGGCACATTTTTTTATGCGCCTTATATCCAATATAACTTTTATTTGACTCTTACTTTTAGTTTTACCGCCACAAAAGCCCGTGGATAGTTGGGTACTTCAGGAGAGAATGGTTCGCCTCAAACAATTCACTCCAATTAGCATCAACCGTGCCCAAATTCTATCTCTCTGTGTTGAAGTCTTTCCTCCAAATCATGATCGATCAGCTGACTCTTTAAGCTCCCTTAAGTTTGAGGTTGACAAAATTGAAGCATTGGATTCAACGCCTTTGGATCGTGTTCAGCTCATCTTCACAATGACTCACTTATATCCATCATCCGGCGTCATCTCTGATGTAAATTCCTCCTTCCGAAAAGATCTAGTTAGACATGATCCTCTTGAAGGCAAATCGTGGGGCAGACGTGATCAAATTTCTGCCTGTTTTGGGATCTATGTTCAGAACTCTGATATTGAAGAGGTGGAATCGAGCAAGAGTGGTGTCTTCTTCGGTTTTGAAGAAGGTAATCCAATTACCGTACCCTTGCAAATTGATCTTCTCGATGCTTGTTATACTCGTCAGTTAGTTCGGATTTCAAACCTGAGAATAACTCTGGGAAAGCAGACAACGCCAATTCTGTCACCACTTTCTATCACTCTAGCCCAACGAAAGCTCCTTTTTGCAGAATCGTGGCCTAAGCATCTGATTAATGATATAGTAACTAGAGAATGCTCTGTGAAACTACACTCTCAATTGTGTTTGAACTTGGACACATTCTCGGGGTCCAGGCTCTCAGCTTATATAATCTTTCTCAGTTCAACTTGTCGGGCTATTCTGGCCGGGTTATCATGCTATCTTTGCAATGAGACCTATTCAGAAAGTGAAGCTTTTTCTGCTCCATTCAATGAAAATGGACTTGAAAATTTCTTTAAGTCCTCATTCGAGGAACAGTCTATTTTCCTCAATTTGAATGCCGGAGGATCAACCTCTTTCTATTCTCAATCTGGGAAGAGTAAGAGTGTTACAAATGTAACTCTAGAGACATCTAAATTCACAGGAAATCTTGTCAACTCATTAAATGGGACAATTTGTCCCATTTTTGATAGATCTCCTCTCGATCCTAGTCAGTTACTGTCAATTAATATTGAAAGGAAGATTGTTTCCGGATTTGGAGATTCTCATTGTAAGTCACATTCGCTTTCACTTGACTCCAATACTTTGATAGTTCCTGCGTCAATATCTATGAAAGCGAATTCGTTGAAAATTTTCATAACCCCAACGCTGATTGAATGGTTAAAAAATGTGACACTGAAGTTGCAGAAATCCTGGGATGCGTTGGAAGAATTGACTACAGAGGAATTTCAAACTGAAGTTCAGAGTATGTCGTTTGCTTTCCTCTTACCATTTTTGAAAATTTTTTTAGGCTGTGTATCAGTTCAAAAGCTGGATCTTCAGAAAAGAAATTCATTTAGCGCCAAGTCGATCAAACAGTCGGTTCCAAGTCAGAATAGATCCAGTGCATCTACTTGTGTCTTGGTTACCAAATCTGATATAGTTGTCAAACACAGCAGTTCATCGTTTTCTGAATGGATTATTGCCAATTACAAATGGTTTACTTGTTGCAAGTTGGAGGTATTTAATTGTTACCATATCTTTTGTTTTTACTTATTAATAATACGAAAAACAAACATTGACTGTGTTCGCTTATACCACGTGGCGAGAAGACAGAAAACTCACACGGTGTTTTATTTTTTAAGAAAGTACTTACATGGACTTGGTCATTAGGTTAGTCAATAAGTGGAGTATCGAAAGGACTGATGAATTTCGCTCCGTTTCATTAAAAAGTATCAATTCTTTTTTCCCATCTACACAAGCCCGATATCCCACCTCCAATTAGAGATGAATACGAGTACATATTATCAGCTTGATGCAAATGGAACATTTTCGTTTCAGCAAACATTCTCACATTTTCAAACCAGGTAATAAAGCTTTAATTTGCTTTGTGCTCACAGGGGAACTCATGGAATCAGCTCTTTGTTAATCTTCCAGGAGATGCATTGAGTACTTTTCCATATTTTTGTTTTGCAGCACCTCTCCTGCTTTGCTGTACTAAATTAATCGAGATTGAAAAAAAGTTTATTTTGAATTTATATGAACAATTTTGGCTTCACGTCAACATTTATTTCCTGATATTCCAGATATCAATAGCGCGTTCTAGCATCTATTTCTGTCCAATAAACGACCATTATTCGATCGATGACTCCAACGCCTGGTTTTCTTCTCTCAGCTTCTCGAGTCGTGCCAAAGTCATTCAGATCTCACTTCCTCGAATTGAGGTCACTGGACCGAGTACTCATGGTTTAGAGCAATCTCAAGATCAAGCCAGTCCCCCTTCAGCACCTCCAATAAATGAATTTCCTGGAATTCGGCTGTACAGTTTTGAAGTGGAGGCTAAACAAAGAGAGGAGGAAAGAAAGCGTATGCGTCGGATGTTGAGTAATCTTGAGCCTGAGACTACGGAAATTCTGGATCCTAATCGACCAAAGTGGGATTTTACGGTTTCTGGGTTGGATATTTCTATTGGAATGTCACCATCAATTCTTTTTCAAATGGGTAAAGTTGAATCTAATCTCGCCTTCACGATTACCCTACCTAAACCGGATGCGGATCCAATCTCAATCGATTGGGAGTTGATTATCAAATTTATCTCCGATGAAAATACTGATTCCGAATTGTCACCCAATCTAAAAGATATTGTACAGGTCTTGAAAATCATCTCTGACATCCAGTCAGAAATTGAAGGGCTTACCACCAAGGTGAGGAACCAGATCATTTAAAATTTTGTAAGGACCCAATAATCCACCTTCTTTGTTCTTTGTAGATCCGTGTTACAAAGGATTTCATATCTTCTCGAACGAAGAGGAAAGAAGGAATTATTCCAAACTATTTTGATATCTCTTCATCACCGGAAGTGATACCTTGTAGAAGTGAAGTTTGTGAATCTTCTTCTGTGCTTTCTCATATAACCACATCTTCCCTTCATTCTCTGTCGAGATCAAGAAGGACATCTCATCGAATTAGTTCTAGTAACATTCCTGAAAATGAAAATTCCCCGATTCCAGTTCGTGGAAGTGTTAAATTAACTCTTCCTTCAACTACCGGCCAACTGTGTTTGGACGATGACAGGAACTCTGCAATTCAATGGCTGATTGAAGGGTTCTCAGTGTCAACTTCAATATTGCACTCCACTTCCTTTATACACTTTCGAACTCAGCTTGAACGAATTCGTCTCCTCTTACGAACTCGAAATGGATGTTATTCTCTACTGTCGCCTGAAAACTGCCATCTTAGACCATTTCAAAGTGTTACTCCCTGCCCAGGAAGTGATTACTCTGAGGAATCCAAGGTCGGGCCAGGTCGTCCCAAACCGAAAATTCCCCAGGAAGTTGATAGCGACTGTGAACTCGATCCTACACCACCCCGGCTCTACCAACCAACATCAGTATTCAAGGTCTCATTGATTCGATGTTCGGCTGGATTAGTGCGAAAAGTGTTTTCTGGAAAGAGATTCACTCGTTGGTTGGATGGCGAGAGCGAACAGTTTCTACTAGGCGAAAGGTTTATGGAGAGTAGTGACTCCAGCCCCCCATTTGTTAATTGTATCTACGTCAGACTGAAGCCGATGGATTTAATGTTATGCCCTCAGCTTGTGGCTCATGTTAAGGATGCGTTTGCGGCATACAACGACCCGAATAAGGTTACGTCTGAGTACTGTACCAAGAAACCATTATCGGTGATTAAGGCTCCTCCTCTGCCTGGACATTGCATGCCACTGATTTTCGTCGCGATGGATGCAATGCGTATTTTCTTGCCTTCTCCCGGAGTGAGTTATTTTCTATTGCCATTTTTGGCATCAAGGTCATCATTTTTTTGTTGTAATTGTGCACTAAGCTTGTTTCTTACTTTACACTGTGATCAAATCCATCTCTCCCTATTTTTACAAGCACGATCTTTCCTATCATATACCTGGACCTTTTGAGGTATAATGCGAAGGTATTTAACCATTTAATAATCAGTAATTTTGGAACTTCATATGTACCGCGATTGAACAGTAAATTTCCAAAAAAATTATGGGGGTGGTTTGGGCTATCATCTGGACTATATTGAATGTGTACTTGTTGAAAGAACTTAAGATTCTGAGATATCACCATGCTTTTATTAACTATCACACTTCAAGTTAGGAAGTAGGATCTAAATGACGCGGTAAAACCAGTAAAAACACCTTCAAGGCTCAGGGGCGAGTCATTAGCCAAACGGGGAAGCTGGTGTGAATCAATGGATGCATCATGGTTTTGACCAACGTATTGTAAACATATTTTTTTACAAGATGACTTTCTTATCACTCCTCATTACATTATATAAGACGTTAGTTACAATCCCCCTTAGAGAAGTCTTTCATAATTCTAGGATTGGGTGGTGGGGAGGTGGGGGGGTTCCCAAAAGATAATGCCATTTGGATGTGGGGCGTTTATCAGGATTGAACATATAATTGAAGATGGCTAATGAACATGGCTCAAATCCTATGGATTCGTTTTAGAACAATGCGACATACCTTTGCAAGATGTCAAGGTTCTCTATCATTTCTGTCTAGTAATTTCAGGTGGTATTTTGTGGGAGTCATCATCTTGTTGAATTGATCGAAGCATATTTCTATTGACAATGATCATAATCTCTTGTAGCTTATGAATCCGCAAGCCGCAGAATCGGAACAAATCGACACTATTGCTTTCACTCTTGGTGCCCTGCGTCTTCATTCCTTCCCAACCAACTCTGTTACATCTCGACCCGAACCGCCAGGAATCACCTCAGCTAAACCAATTAATCTCAAAACCACCATCGGTTCACCTCTAGAAGATCGACAGTTCGTTCTCCATCTTGATAATTTCGCATGCTGGGCTGTCAAACTTGTCGATGCACTGAATTGTCCCGAAAGTTCACATCGTTTCAATTATCAACCAACTCTGACTGGACAATATCCTGCTTTTGAATGGAATCAAGCTGCCACTCGACTGAGTGACATGTGAGCAGAAATTTACTGGATCATACTCTACTGAACTTTCAGTATTGAATAATGTTACTTATCACTTATAGGACAGATGCGGTCTGGGTCCTACCTTTATTACGACCTCTCAATGTGACGGCTATCTATGCTGCTCCTGTTGGTGATAACAGCCTTGTCTCTGGTCAGGTAGGGAATTTTACCCATTTCAACTACTTCCCCTACCGTATCAGAGTTTACCGTTTCATTATTCGTTCATTTTAGAAACGGCTTTTGTTAGGATCAGCACTTGAAGTGAATATAAGCCAGGATGTTATTGCAACTCTATCTATTTCATTCCTGACAAGCTATCTCTCCAATTTGTCTGGCGTATTAATTCCAAACTCAACGGTGAAGTCATCTCAAGTAGCACAAACCTCGGAACGACCTTGCCAACACGCATCTAGATTGCTTCTTACTTGTGGCTTGATTAGATGTGTGACATGGGAACGAAGATTCAATACTGAAAACGACTGGGATTTCTTGGTGGGAGATGTTATTCAGCCTTATTTGACGTGGTCACCAGAAGGTCTGAATTCAGGAATTAATGATCTACGAGTGAGATTGACATTCTCTTTCAGGTTATTTATGTGCCATTATTGAAAATCGCTTATGATTTCTTTTTATGATTGTAGGTTTATTTGCGAACATTTTCTGACGAGACCAACTCGAAATTCCAAGGAAGTGTGCTGTGGATTCCAACATTACCGAAATCGTGGAACGGTGAAATGTTGGTTATCCCAAGGTGTTTACCTCTTCCACGCATTGGAGAATCGAGTCATTGTCATTCAAGTGATGGAGTTTGTTTCTCCACATTCGGCAATGGGGAACTATTCGTGGTTAATTTATCACGTCGTAACTCAAAGGTTAGCTTTCTTTAATCGACTACATTTATTGCAAATGATCTTTGTCGTGCGGTTAGTCGAACAAGCTATTATTTTGAATGTTCACGTTGTGGTGTTTTGGCGTTGTGTGATAAATTATTTTCATTGGGGAAGCGGTAGAAGAAGTTACATCAAATGGCAGGCGTCTTGATGGTTATCATTAGCCCTTAAGTTGACTTCAGGCTTCACAGAGAGGAGGAGGAACATCAAAGTGTAAAAAAGTCGAGAGGGGAGGGAGGGGGACAGAAGTGTTTCAAAGACGATGGTAGAAAAGGTAGGGATAAAGGTGAGGTGAGTACTGTGGAAGCAGTCGAATTTGACATACATTGGGGTGATGGTAGTTTGAAGTCGGAAGTCAACTGCCGGTTAATAGACTTTTTTTGCCGTATGAGTATACGTTGCCCACCGATTAATGGACTTTTTTGCCGTATGAGTATACGTTGCCCAGGGGTTTTTTGCCGTATGAGTATACGTTGCCCAAGGTGCACCACTAGGAGGTAAGTCTATCGCACACCCCACTTCAATATCATTTTTTATCGCACACCCCAAGAAGTCAGCAACACCGGGTATTCCCAGCCGGTCACACATGCAAGTACTAACCCGGCCCGACGTAGTTTAACTTTGGTGATCGGACAAGAACCGGTGCTTTCTACGTGGTATGGTCGCTGACCACGGTAGAAGATGTTAACTTCTTATAAGTGAGGTGTTGAGAAGTCAACAATCTTTCCAAGATAAGTATTTTCACTGCTTCCTTCATTTTAACTCCTCTCTTAGCCAAAAGAAAGAAGGTGGGTCTTGGACTTTTGATTTGATTTTAACAACGAATATTTATTAAGATCCTGTGGATTTTGTTTCATTATTTTACTTACTTTAAAATAACTTTTAGGATGGTATGTTTGAAGCTTCGGCTCGCGTTCAGCGTAATATATCCTTCGTACTTACTCCAGCAATGCTCACCTGTATTACAATCCTATCTAAGCCTTTCCAGTCATCCTGGATCTCCACAGAGACTAGAGAAGATGTGGATCGTCCCACTTTCAGCATCCCAGCTTATATCGTTAAATCTTTATACAAATTGTCTTTCAGTACTCGTTTGGTATCAGTAAGTTGGTTAAATTATATGAGAATAAATTTTCTGCTTTTGATTTCTCACTCGTTTTGCTTGATCGTTAGATTGCTTTAATTGCACCTGATGTTATGGCCAAATTCTCAGTGGAAAGTATTGAACTCGACGGCTCTTCAATCAGTCGCAAAGATTGGCGAAGCTTTGATTCTATTCTAAGAGTATTCAATATCTCAGCCTGCCTGGGTCATTTTCAATGCATTCCGTCGGCAACAGAGTTGTGTTTACAATCTGCCATAAGTATATCCTCTGTTAATTCCCCCATCGTATCTGCTCAGGTGGAGATTTCTAGAGGCACTAGGCTAATCTTTCCACTTGGCGAAGAAATCAAACAACTTACTAGAGCTTTTGACTGCATTAGCAGATATAGTGCTGCATGTGATTGTAAAAAGGAGAGTCCTACCCAAGTTCTGCCTCAACGTCAAATCTTCATTGACGAATTTCGACAACAATCAGCCTACGATTTCTCCGTTTTCGTTCCCACTGGACCTTCAGGGCTTGGAGATACGTCTAGATGGTTGCCATTGCCTTTTGAGGTTGTCTTCTCCGATTTCGATCAATTTTCACCAGAGGAACTAGCGGAAGAGAGGTGTGTGACAATGACGTGGACATTCCCTGAACCGCGGCAGATAACTAGGCTCAACGTAAATCCTGTCCCACTGGTTTATGAAAATGACTACGGAAAATCCGATGGCATCATGGTATGCATTTCAATATCTTCTTGTTATTTAGTAAGAATTTCATGTTAATCTCTCTTATTTTCTTCACTTTAGCTTCCAGCCCGATTGCAGTACTGGAATGAACAGATTGGGGAGTACGGGGGTTTTGTGACCTATGCTTCTTTTGAACTTCGTGAAGACTCAACAGTGGATGTTTCTCTTCCTGACATTTCAGAGCATCAGCAGACTATTAGGGAGTCTCATCGCCATAGAATCGTTTATAGGCCCTCTGGAGAGGAAAATGAAGATATCTGCTGGGGCTCAAAGGCTAATCTCAACCTTAAAATGAATAGTCTTCCGATTGTTGCCTCATCTTGGAGGATAATAGTCAGCTGCGTGGGTCGAAGTTCTTCCAGGTGTGTCTTGAGGTTCTTTTGCTTCTTAATTGCATAAAATTACTTTTTTGCCCTCATTTTTTTTCATTTCATGTTTTCATGCACTCACACTAACGTATTGTCATTCAATACCTTTATTATGGACTCAGTAATTAGGTCCTGGGAATTGTAATGTCTGCTACTTCTGGGATAGCAGCTAATGAATACACTAACCAATGTCTTAATCTCCTTTTTTTGCTCATTTCAGGACCAATTTTGCTGGTCCCATGCCAATATTTTTGTCGCCCTACGCACTAGCTGCTTGCACCCATATTGATTCCATTTACATCCCGGAACTTACAACGCCAGTCTCCATTCAATTTAAAGTGGATGATTTCTGTCTTTCTGCATGGAAGGTACCCTCACCTTTATTTTTGTATTATGTTTTTTTTCAGTTTGGAAAACAGACTTGCCTTGAAACCGGCCGTTTAACTGTATCAAACCTCCGGGGTCTCTTAGCAACTAGCTTTCAGACAGATTTGATACCATTTTGGAGTTTTTCTCTCGACTTGGCTGCTGTTCACGTTTTTGATCCACATGGTGCACATTTGCAGTTGCTGGGTCAAGTGGAACGAATTCACGGTGTTAGTGGTGATATCAGTGTATCTGTGGGATCCTGTTGTCTCTGTTGTAGCAGTACCATCGTATACGCCTTGCGAGGTATGCTAAATGAGGATAGTACTGGCTGGACAATCTACAATCGAATAGACGAGCGGATTTGTGTAGAACAGTATTTCGCTGGAGGAGAGACGAACGAGCCTTCTGCTGAGGCTTTTAGAAATGTTACAAGATTCATCTTGAATGCTAGGGAATGCAAGCCATCGTGGAGACCGATCTTGCTGCCTAAAGCAGATTCAGGGAATCAGACGATATCTCTTAGATTTAAGGTAAGTTTATATGATTCATCTGGTGCATATTTTCAAATCGTCAAGAAAAATGTCGTTTGCGAGGAAATTTCCACTTATTGCGGTTTTATTTGGAGATTATCATTGTTTTTTTTGGCAAATATGAGTGGAGCTATTTTATGACCTATTTTACTCCCACTTGAAATACCTTTATCTGCATGCATTTGAGAAGCGCTGGTGACATCAATACCATCTCCCAATTTTTGCCCAAAAACTGCGCTGCCGTTTAGAATCCGTTGCCAATTACGATTAGTGCCTTCCACTCCTAAATGAGATTTCCATAGTATTGATTTTATCATTACTAAACAAACAGTTTGCAATTTCTGAGAATTCCTAAGATTCAAAGAGCGTCCATTAGGGGGACAATTCGTTTTACAATTCGTTTGCCATAGTGCTTTACAAAGCACACTATCGTCATTGAGACTGACGGTAATAGTTGGTTATCAATCAGAGAGTGTAATCGAGATTAAATCTAACTTTCAGGTTTCACTTTTTAATATTTAGTTCTGGTTTTTTTGCTTGAATATGTGTTAATTGTCTGTAATTTCTTTTCTTGTAGAAATCAACTGATTGGAGTGCTCCGATATCGATTGCTTGGCCACCAATTCATAATACCCGTACTATTTCATACCCGATTAGGTGGTTGGCCACTGGTGAAGAGAAAGAAATGCCTGCTACCTTGTTCTTTCTCATTCCTTCTCGTCCTTCGTCTGGAATACCGGGAGAAGTGTGTATCAACTTTTCAGACCCCATCATACTTTCATATTTTATTTATACCTCTTTTGCTTATAATAGGTTATTATACAATCGAGTTTCAATATTGAAAACAACCTTCCAATTGATGTATACTTAACACTTCCAGGTGGGATCAATAAGTGTATTGAGTCGTGTTCGTCTCAGGGTGTCTGTGTTCCGTTGGGTAAATTCGATTTTTCTATATCTGCATTCAACACAAACAGTGCACCAAAACTTTCTTGGAAGGATTTGGAATCAGTAAAACAGAAAATGTTACTGGTAATTGTGTTTAAGTGTTTGCATCTTACTTGAGAAAGTCTTTATTTTATACCCTATTTATTGTTAATATACTTATTAGAAATAAGTAGTAAAATAGTTCACTTCCTTTCTAGTTATCGATTGGCGAGGACATCACTCCTGTTTTACTCAAAGTTGATAATCCAAGTGAGGCGATTCGACTGGTAAGGGCGAACTATTCTTGCTCATCCTTTGTTGTATCAATCCGTGACCATCTCAACTTATTTCAGATCACACTGACGCCCGCGTTCAGCGTTACCAATGCATTCCCTATGCCCATAACTTTGGAAGTTGCCGATAAATCAAGCATTCGTTTTATAAATCGACCATCAGGCGACTGCTCAGAGCACATAGAAATTCCTCAGAAATCGTCGAAATCAGTTATGGTATTATTTCAACCGGGTCACCAGCCAACATTCAATTTCCGCTATCCGTACGTCTTCTTGTTCCCTTTAAAAGTGAATTTTCAAATGTTGACATTTTTCCTTTATAATACTTAGTGACTGGAATCAGGTGTTTGACTCCCCGCTCACTGTTCCATTGGAGACAGCGTCAAGTGAAATTGATATAATTGTTCAACCTTGGCTTCTTCTTTCAAACCACAGTGGCATAAACTTAAAAATCTTTACTGCTGACAATCTTGAAGATATCAACTATCCCGATGATTCTGGACTAAATTTGAATGATGGGGTCTCTTTCGTACCTGGAACTGGTGAGGTAATGAGATCTGTATTTTCTTCTTCAGTATGTGACTTTTGTTGGATAAAAGTGAATATTTGTTATCATTAGATAAAGTATTTACATTATAAGCATATCTGCCTAAATTTCACCAAATCGTGGGGTCACTTTGTGGCATAATTTTGAATTACCGACTAAAACTGAAACAATACCGTACTATATTGAGTTGTGTGATTTGGGGGGTAATTAATGCAATCTATTTCAGCGTCTTCTGAGGCTTGGACTTCATCATAAAGGAGAAGTAGTTTGGTCTCCGCCAATTCTTATTCACAACTCTGTCTTCGTTCCACCACATGATGCTACTCAAAAGGATTCATCTATCGATGGCACAGTGGTAATTTTGACGGCTAGTGGGACAAAGCGTCAACAGGATAGACGAAAGAGCATAGGACAGACCCCAGCTGATGCTGTTGTGAATCTCACTCGTGATCACCCACTTTCCTCCATTTCAATTCGTCTTGGCGGTCTTATTTGCAGTCTTGCTCTGCGTCTTAGCATTGCTGAACAGTCTCCTAGGGGATTCGGTAATGGAGAAATTGTAACTCTCAGTATCGAACCCCTACTACAACTTAAAAATAGATCAAATAGGACTCTTCTCTTCAAGCCGATTGCAGCTCCTAACATTTCAGCTCAGCAATGCCTACCTATTGTGAGTTAGCCTATGTTTTTGAAAGCCTTTGGTTGTCTTACTAATGTGAACTTACTTGCGATAAATACTTGTAGGGCAATCTAAGGTTTGATCGATAAATTTTTTGTTTCTTGAGTTGGTTTGCCAATGCCGAGCTTAGTTTGCCATCTCCTAATCGGTGTATCCGGGATCCTAGTGTCGGATTACTTGAAAAAAGCAATTTTTTCACAACTTCAAGTATGATTGACTTTTTCCTGTCGAAAATTAAAATGAACATACAGTTCCCATTGCGTTTCATTAACATTGAGTGAGCAGGGTTGACCTCCAGAGAGAACAAATGAGAGGCTGAATACTTGAGTGTAGTAGGTGTGAACTCGGATTCATTTGTTTAATTGGTGACGCGCACCAGTGTTTTGACAATTTTTATTATATGCGTTATTTTCAGGCATCGGTGGATGAGCTTAATGCTGAAATTGTCGCACTTCCATCCTCAGCTGACGAGAAACCTATTCCACTTCTTCTTTGGAACTTTACACATCCTGATGTGGTATTTAAAGGTGTTGATTCAAAGGGCATTTTATTCGCACACCTTCTAGTTCTTCGTAGTCACTTGGGTGTCTTTTGGAGCCGTTCTCTTCAGCTAACTGAAATCACATCAACTGATGGAATTCGAGTGTTTGAGCCCACTGGACCATTGAGACGATACTATCATGTCTCCTTGACAGGATATGATGAAAGTAAGGTTTGCTCTATATCGTATTTCTCTTTTAGTTGTTTTGTATTGCATTAGTTATGAGATGTTCCGAACTCATGATTTATCGCTGTTGGCCAGGCGCAATGTTAAATACTAATTAATAGAGTCGTGCCCGAATACAAGCACAGCACACCCAGACCTCCTATTAGGATTATCATTTGAGTACGGGTAGTCTGCAGGCCCTTGAAGACCAGGGATCTGTATTCATTGGCTCCCATTCAGTGAATTAACTCTGCTCAACTAAAGAGTGGGAGAAATACGAGTTTCCTATAATACCGATTCTAGAATAACTTTTCTCTATCCAAGGCAACTACTACAGTTTGAGCGATTTTCTCTATGGGTTCCGGAGTTTTTAAGTTATGTCAATCTAGAAGCTATTGTCCAATAGGAACTCTGAACTCATTAAGGTAATTAAATATGGAGTTTCTGGAATGGTTAAAAACTGGGCACGAATCATTTGGGCAAAATCATACACGACATGTGCTTGAAGTAAATCACATTGGACGTTTGAGTTGTTTCGATTAAAACTAGAGTGTTAGCTACTATTCTCTTATTTCCAGATGGAAATCCAAATGAGTATTCACTACTCTTAACCCTATCAAATGAATCTCGCACTGGAATCTGGATTCTTTATCTTGACAATATGTCAACATCACTTTCCGCCACTCTTGGTTGCAGCTTGATAAATTCAACTGACTATTCCATCGCGGCGTCGATAAAGTTCCATGACTTCCACCAACTTTCCGTCTCAAATGCATTGCCTTGTGTCTACCCAAGGGGTGGAAAGTTGACTATAATTTCTCAATCTGGACTTGATCATCTGGTTGGGATGCAAACATCTGATGCAGCTTCAACCTCAGATTTCATTCATATAGAGTCAACGGCCCTTAATCTCCACCTGGATTCTTATGAAGTAACTGTCAAGTTGAGTGATTGCGATCAGAAACCTCTTTCCCTAATATTTGGTGGCACGACAGTCTTCATTCAGAGAGTTATCGATCAGGCTATTCCATCAGCAGTGAAAGTTGTTATTTTCACTGACAAGGAGCCATCTCTTCACCCCATTCTACCAATTGATTCTCCTCTGTCAATATCCATCTACATTGACACGGCCTTGATTTTCGCTCCCATATCTGGTTCACTATTAAAGCAAGGCGATTCAAGACTGCGAAATTTCCTTCGAATATCCGTTCGTTGTATTGACGGCGTCTTCTCTAGAGATGGCTCTGCATCGGTGTCTGAATTTAGTGTCATTTCGTCAATGATCCAAGTCGATAATCTTGCCCAACTCATCTCCTCGACATTCGATTTCCCAGTACTTCTACGCTCGGTGCTCTCCCATGCAGCTGAAGGAAATAGAACTGGAAGTTTCTCCTGTAGTGGTCAGATTCGGCAGATTCAACCTTTTGGTGATCTTTTATTGGATAAATTTGACCTCCGCCTGCCCTCGATTGAAGCTTATTTGGAGGATTCCGTTCTATATACACTCATTGCATGGATTGATGACTTAAAAAGCGCAGGGAGTCAGAAAACTGGAGCGATGGACATTAATGATCAATTTCCTACTACACTGTGTCTTCGAGATCTTCAAATACACTCGATTGCTCTTCAGTTAGCTCTTAAGGCTAAGATAGGAGTACATATCTCCTGCAAAACTACCCAATTTCGATTGAATAAATTTGCTCGTTCAGAGGCTGTGCTACAAGTATCTGCTCTAATAGCTCAGATCAGTACTCATTACATCTCCCAGGTTTTGATTAGAGCAGGGATTGTACTGGGAAGTCTAGAATTGATAGGAAATCCCGTCAGTTTGGTTGCTTCGTTTGCTGAAGGCCTCTCAGACCTTGTACACTTTGCCGATAGTGAAAATTCGGCTTCCAGAGAACGGTTGGGTCCTCTAATAGGAGTGGCAAGTGGCCTTGTGTCTCTGGTCAAGCACACAACTGGGTAGGTTTATTTCCTAACAACTTAATCACGTATAAATTAGTGTGTGATTTTGATTTAAGATTGTGTATTTCTTCAGAGGGGTTTGTAACTCAGTAACCGGCATGGCGTCAAGTGTGGCACGAAATCTTCACGAGTTATCCCTAGACACAGAGCATATTCAACGGACTACGGAGACTCGTCAGCGACATCATCCAACAAGTTTGGGTAATGGTTTAGTCTTGGGTCTCTCCGAATTCGGCGTCAGTTTGCTAGGAGGCCTAGCAGGTATTGTGCATCATCCTCTCTTTGCCGTCGTGGATTCTACTCCTTCGATGAAGCAGTCACCAATGTCACCCGATGCTAAGGATACTGATAACTCCTCACTGACTTCAACTTCTATTGTTTGTACTGCAGAAGCCCTTGCTGGCGGTTTAGGTCGTGGGCTAGTTGGCCTGGTGGCCAAACCCCTTGCTGGAGTTGCTGATCTAGTAGCGTATGCTGGAAATGGCTTCATGCATGGAGTGGGAGCTGGGTGGGGAATTACGTCCCCACCAAGTCATTTGAGCTGGTAGGTGGAATGATTCCAGTTTGGTTTCATTCGCTTTGATGAAGATAGTATGTGTGGCTCTTTTCTTTATGTGGCTTAGGATTTTCTCTTATTCAGCTCATATTTTGTAATATAAATTGACGTTTCATTACATTCGCCCCTTGTTAGGGTCTACTCTTCTCCCCAAGCTTGCGTGATCGATCTTTACACCATGTCAAAATAGTCCGCATGTTTTCGCATCGATAAGTCAATTTATCTTATGCGCCATTTAAAACTGTAACACAAATAAATTTGTTCGAATAAATGGGGCTTTGAAGATGGTAAATAGGGCAGCTCATGTGTAGCAATGACTTTTTATTGCAACTATTATTTTCCTATGGGTGGCAGTTTTTTGGTCCATTTCAGGTTTATATATACTTCTAGATGATGAATTACTGTTTGCCTTAAGACATCAGGAACAAGAATAATAACATTTAATCATCATATTCTATTATATCACATTGATTTATTCTACAATACGATAACATTTTTAAATTCAGGGCAGATTAATTTTACTTAACTTTACGTTTAGTCCAATTCTCTCCCCCGATACTGTGCAACTTTTTGACGCTTCCCTACTTCACGATTGGTCCTGTGCACTTACGAGACTGTTAGGCCTACCGCAATTTCCTGATTACCTCTGGAGTGGACTGGGAGTCAATACAGACAAAATGGCTCTAACTTGGCTTTGTTTACCCTATCCGGGATCCTTATTTGCAGTTGAATTCAAACCTGTGGTTCAGGCAATTCGAGCGGGAGTGATTCCAGTGAATGTCGTCGACACAGATGTTGAAGAAGAATTGGAGGATATTCTGGTAAAGGATTCGTCGAATTCTCTAACGCCCTCTCTGTTCAGTCAGTGTCATTTGTCAGGTGGAGACAGGATAACTTTGAAGAGAGTACTTCAACGATTCCCTAGAGGCGAGGAGTTTGTGGCAGAAATGAGTGACGGTGCTGTTATTGCATCGAGTTCGCATCTAGACCGTGTTAGGGCTTATTTGATGAGTTTAACACATCCGGAAAATGATGGCTGTGCACAGTAAAAAGTCACGATCTTGTTTCTTTCACTTTGAATTTCTTTTCTAACCTTAAACATATTCTTTCTCCATGAATGATTGGCCTATGTCTTTCATGTCTTGTGTTAATTTTCCTTTTTATAAGATAAACGAATTTTTCACTTATGATATTATAGCCTTATTTTTTGGATTAGGAAAAAAAACTAAATGCGTTTAAAGTGATATAAACTATGAAATTATACCAGAGCTTTAGCATAATATGAAATAAGTTCAGCATTTAAACTGGAAATTTTGTCAACAATGTTACAATTTCTGCCTTCAATTTGCTGGATTGGTAGGAATAAAATAATATCAAACTCTCAGTTTGTTGCTATAGGCGAGCAATGTAAGTAAAAAGGGAACTCAAAGGTTGCCAGAAGTATGACTTTCAGCATCGGTGCATGATACTTCTTTTAGTTGTAGTTATACCATGTGGAGTAAACGGAAGGTTTCAACATAGAGCATGGTGTTTATTTGCACTATTGGGTGATTGTAGGTGAATTTAAAGACCTATTCCTATGAGATAGGAATAGTTATTGAAATAAGACCATTTCCTATATGAAAATGGATTTAGCGGCCCAGACACTCCATGCAAGAAAGAAATTTTATGAATAAATGGCAAAACTGATCATTAAAAGATCTCTCTTGAAGATTAAATTAAATTTGGTGAGATTAAATTGCAAGAATTTAACTGAGAACAAGACATAAAATTTAAAAGTCGATTGAAATGAAAAGAGATTTAAATGTGCAACTTTTTTGACTTAGTGTTAACAGTAAGTGGCTTATTGAGGTTAAATAAAGTAAAAATTAGTAAAATAATTAATTAATAAAGACATATCAAAATTATTAAGCCCACATTCTTACAGTTTATCTAATAAAATATTTTAATTCAGAAAATGTGTCAAAAATTAACTAGCTTTATTATTGTCATAAATGTTTATATCACTAAAAATACTAGAACTCTTGCAAGGTCGATTGCTTAAGCGTGAGGCGGCATAGTTATATTAAAGTCTGGTCATTGTGGCTACGTTGTTGGGTTGTCTGCGTATCAAGGATCAATTGATTTATTAAAGAATTCACAAAGGTACTTTATCCGACAAGCTTTCTTCATAAACAATTATTAAAACTTTTGCTAATCTTTTGCATATCTTTAAGCTATTATTTCCTATTATTATCAATATCTTGTATGTGCTTCTTCCTTTTAGATGGCTGTAGAAAGTTTAAAGGCCCCAAAGGATAGGTACGGTCGTTAATATTTAATATGCTTTTCTAGGTTTAATATGGCTTTTCTATTTTTCATTCTTCACGGAATTGGATTTCTACTGCCTTGGAACGTATTTATTAATGCAAAAGATGTAAATTGTCATTTTTATCTAATTATTCTCTTTAGTATTTCGTTGATTACAAGCTTAATACAACGACTAGCGCAAAAGCTGATTATCGGGCCCATTTTCTTGGATATATTGGTATTGCCTCTCAGTTTCCCAACCTTATAATGGCAGCTTTTAATACATTCTTCCAAATGAAATCAAGGTATTTATTAATGAATATTTATGTTTTTGAATTGTTCAACTCCTATCATTATTTTCTTATCCATTTTCTACAGTACTTCGAATCCAACTTTTCGTTTCATGATTGTAATGGGGCTCGAATTGTTCATTTTGCTCTTCACAACGATTATGGTATTTGTGGATACAACAAATGGTTCGTTGATTTATTCTTAGTAAAAATCTTAATTATTACTCACTGGTCCGTTTAAGTAAATATGAGTTGAAGCGTTACATTCGTAAATACCATTAACAGTATTTGCTATCAAATATTTTGCTAATTATCTTTGGCAACAAATTTTGATGCATATTTGCTTCAACTTACCGGGTGATAGGTTTGGCACAACTTCAATAAATTTTAAAGGTAAATATAACCGGTCCTCCTCAAATTAATGTTTTTCAACCAAAATATCAGTCTTGATTTATGACATAGCTAATGCTAATGATGCTCTTGTGAGAAAATATACATTGTCTTATGGAAATTTTCGCTTTTAAGGATAGATATATTTGAGTTTGTTCACGTTGAAAATGGTAAGCTAATAGCATGGTCAATTTCTAGTGACCAACTAGCTAGCCCAAATTGCCATATTTTGATAATACATGTGATTAGTGAGGGGGACTATGCCATGGGTGAAGGGTTTGAGTGAGGTCAATTTAAAAGCGGTTAAAACCTATTACCTTGGATGTAAGAAATGTTCACATACATATTCTCTATGGGCTAACAATCTCTTCAAGTGTTTATGCAGTGAAAAGGCGCAGAGAATGTCTCCTGAAAAAGTAGTTCCAGGCGCCCGGTGATTCATTTATTTTCGCGTTAATGACCGTTGGTTCGCGTCTATATGTTCGCTTATGCACTTTCATCCCAATCCCAAAATGATTGTTGCATTCTCACTATTAAATTTGTATGACTTAGGTTCTATATAAATTTTAGATAATTGTCGTTAAAGCATCCCATTTTCAATCTGTTTACAGTGCCGGCGCTCTTCTTCGGTTTGACAATAGTCTCGGTTATTCTTATAAACTGTGAGTTCTAATAATTCCGTCTTAGCCTAGTTATTTTTTGTCAGTTTAAATATAACCTTTCCTCTTCTTCATAGGTTGTGTGGGAGTTCATCAAACACTTACGTTCGGTCTCGCGGCGTTCCTTCCGATGAAGTATTCCAATGCAGTCATTATGGGAACGGTCAGTTTCATTCCAAATTTTCCCCCCAATATTAAGGGAATTATGAGTACTGCAAATTTAATGTGCTAGGTACAAGGGTTTTGACTTCAATCAGAATAAGAAGAGTTGAATTGAACCAATGGCTTTTCCACACCACGTGGCCCCACTCACAAGTGCTCAATATCATTTTCAGTACAATAGGTTCCATAAAACTTCTCTTATATTGGCCACACTGTACAAGCCCGCGTTTTGTTGTCTTAAAACAAAGAAAGGCGCAAATGCGAATGCATAGATTTCAGAATTTATGATTTCTATGAGGGAAAACGACTCAAATTTGATGGTCGAAATATTTTTCTCCCAAAGTGCTCTTATCCCCAGTGGGGATCATTCCCCTACTGTGTCACTTTTTATCTAAGCTTTTGGCCTGAAATATTTGGCTGTAGATGAGTCGAATCGGGGTGATTTCTTTAAGTTTTTTTTGTAAAATATTACTTTATGTTAAAGCACGCCTTTCCACAATCAAGTTAGCTAATGATGTCAGTATCAAAATAGGCGCATGTATTTGCAAAGTTGGCATACAATATACTAGTCACATTTGCAGATGCATGAGAATATTCGCTGTAGAGCAATTTGGGCAATGGGAAAGGCGGTTTGGGGTTCAGGAATTATACTTTTTTCACCACTCGAAAGATGTCGCTTTATAAACATATCTTTTTACGAGATTTTTTACCATACCCGATGTCGACGTTGAAATTCTAATATGTGACGCTTGTCCTTCTTAGTGTTTAAAGTAGCCGAAGATTGTGTACAAGAAGTTCGCGTTTGCTGCGCTCATAGAACAGGGTCTATTACTTTATCGCTATTAATTCTTGTAATAATTAAACCTTTTTTTTCTTTTTCTAGAATATTTGCGGAGTATTCGTTTCGTCGGTAAATATGCTCGTAAAAGGTCTTGCTGAAAGTAAGTGTTTTTTGCCAGCCGTATTTACAGTGAATGGTCTTAGACTATTATCTAAAAAGCCCCATCCACGCACACGCTTGAATATCGCCATTTTGACGTCACTTTTTGCCCCTCCTCCCTTTAAGTAACACACGCCACCCAGATGTGGACAGTCTCGTGTGGGATTGCGATAAGCTGAGAAATGTGATCAATATGGCTGTCTTTATGACTCTTACGACAGATGTTTACTGTCTATGCTACATCTATAGTAAATGCAAACATCGATTCCCAATACTGCCTTCCCACATGCCCCTAGAAGGTATTGTGATTAGGCGAACTTTTCGGAAAGCTTAAGTAATTGGTGAGGTACAAGTGAAAATGCTTCCAGCTCATGTTTGAATATTACTCTTTTCCTGTGTGATCTTTTTATTAGCAACCTTCAATTTATGTGTTGTGGTAGCTTTTGAAATCAGAACAAACGTTTTACTAGTACTCATGACCAGGTTTGGTTACGGAGTAGGCTTTCTGAACATACGATAAATCATGATTGTCCAGGGCGCAAGAAACAAGGAGAGAGTATCAAATCGAAGCAGATGATAAAGTCAGAATATCACAAGCCTCACTGCTTTGTATCTGCTAATACATTGGCTATGAATTTGATAGATTTCAAGGCTTGGCTTCCAATTTCTTTGGTGTATTCACGTTCGCAATTTCCAGGGGCATTAATAGATTTATTTCACGCCCTTAAAGCTCAGATCGGGTATGTGTGATTAGCGAAGGTGTTCTCAAGATTTAATAAATAAGACGTCAAATGTACAAAATCACATTGTTCCAGGGAAGTAAACGGTATCAGTTTCACGTTTTGTAGAGGTTATTTTAATACTTTCAACTTTTCCTGTTTTTCTTTTATTGTTACTCGATCGTAATAGTTGTTGATTCGCGAAAATACGGCGATCAGGTTTCCAATTTTTTGTTTTCTTGAAAGCTTTAGGCGCTTATTTGTGACATTCTAGCAGACTGCCTTCCTAGTATAATTTGAATATTTTTCCCCAAGAGCGATATCCTTGTCACAATAATCCGTGTCAAGTCGATTAAACTGGATTACATTGAGCAACAAAACTAGCAGTTTTCTTTTATTAGCCAACCTTTCATCGACTCGCAATTTTCTCATCCCAATTTGCTATATATATTACAATATGATAATTATTTTGTTTTTTATTCTAGTTTGGGGAGAGTCGGAAAGGAGTATAATCATCACGAGGACCTGCTACTTCGCTGTTGCCGCGATTTACGTTGTGGTCTGCGTGCTCACCTACATCGCCCTCCAGCGTCTGGTAAGTCTCTTGGGGAACAGGAGATGCATTTTTGTCTCGCTTGGAAGCAAAGCCGCCAATTAGGTTTTTTGCATTTTGAGACTAACTACTCTAGTAGCGGGTGAAGATTTAGAGGGTACTTTTTTGCTCCTCTTCTCTGGATCAAGATAAATCCCAGTAGAGATCCTTACAAGTGCTTGAATGCGAGTGAGAGGAGGGGGGGGGGCGGGGGGACGATGCCGCAACCTCTCATTCGGAAGTGCGCACAATTGAACACATCCAGATGAACTGCATTCGACGCTCTGGTCGGAGTGAATCGTCTTAGTCGACTTAAATGTTCATCAAATCTTGAACAAATTATATGAATGAAAGAAATACATTTTTTAAATTGTGAGATTGTAGAGTTAATTGCTGATCAAAGAATTTATTATCACGAATTTCAAGTATAATGGATTACAGTTAGATTAAACGATAAACTAGATATGCTTTTGAAGATTATTATGGGTGTTTTTTGTTTTGGAGGCCAGTTTCTTACTCGAAGAATTTACTAATATTTTAAAATTGGCGTGAAATTTTGGTAATTTCTTGAAAATCTCTTGGCAGTCTTTTAGTCTGGGTTACGACCTCAATGTAAGATTAACGAGGCCATTTAAGTCACTATGCTATTGTAATATGGTGTTCCAAACTGACATGGGTGTGGTGGTATTGGGGTTATTTTAAATGACCCAATGTCTGTCTATATTTGAAAAGAAAAAAAGATTTTTGAGAAAATTTGCACAAGGACATTTAATTAATATTTTACGTTGAACAGAAAGGCGATAAATCAAATGTTTCGTTTACTGCTAACTTCTCGTTTATTTACCTTTACTGTTTCACAATTGTAGTAAGCAGAATACTAATTGTTACACAAATGAGGGTATGAGTAATGACTTTACTTTTCAACCAGGTACCAATAATAGGTTTAATTTTATGAGGTCCTTCAATCGAATGAATTCTTTGATGTTTTGGGAAAGAGGGAAAACCTCGTGGTGCTTATCAATTAGCTCCAATTTTACCAGATTTGACAAATACATCACCGAGTTTCCACTTCTCAACACCAGTCGTGTTCAAATGGTTTCCAAGCTTTCCAGTTCCTTAGGCATTAGGAAAAATCAACACAAATTTAGATCAAATGATGTTCGTTAATAGTAATCGTTATCGATTATTTATAAAGTTACTGTTCACTTTGTCTCCAACTTTAAAACGCCCAAAGAAACCGGCCTTCCGAATGCGGTCGCGAAGGGTGGATTACTATCGGTGTTGATAATTGAATTAGTAACCCCACGTGAGCTGTCAAAGTTATTTGTGTCTATGACATGACATTTGTTGACACTATTTAACACAGTTTCTTTTCTGTGGAGATTTGCAATATATGTTTCATTTCACTGATTTTCACAGGTTTCAAGATTTTAGTGTCTTAGAAGTAGGAGTCGATTTCGTTGGATGCTTTAGCTTTGAAAGGTTATTCCCCCCCCCCCCTAACTCCCAGATTTTTTCCTCTTTCTGACTTTTAGTCTTGAGCGTCGAAACTATTAGTCATGTCAAAATGTTTGCATATTTTTGACGATCATGACTTCTTTCTTTACTATCAGCCTAAACGCAGCTCCCTTCGCTTTAACCAGCAATTATAAAGGGAGCAGTTTTCTTCCTAATGATAGCTCTTGTTAAATTCATGATGTCTTAGAGGTAAACCAATTAAGTCCCCTCATAACAAATGATGTTATGTCTGAGGACAAGTGTGGTTGCGAAAACACCTTCGCGTACAAATATAAACCAGTTTCTCTCCAGTGACACGTATATTCAAGTCATCAACCAAGCCCCTTCTTTCAATGTACATTTTTTGTGTGTCTTCACCAACAGGCTTTTATAGAGAGGGTAAATTGTCGGTAGAAAAATCTTCCCTATTATCGCCTTCATGTACCTGCAGCGGATTGCTACCTTGGTAAAGCCTGACTGACTCAGAAATCTCCATGGCAGATCCTCCAACATCTAGCTATACTCCTAGAACCAGCTAAGCTATAGCCCAGCTATGAAGGAAACAGACGTGTAGCACGGAACACGTTTATTCAGTACGCACATTGCGGTAAAAGTGTGTTCACGCAGGGAGTTGCTCATGCTCAGGATGGGGGATTCGATTAAACAGAGGTTAATGATTGGTCACTGTTTGTACGGCCGCACCTCCCAATCCTGGCTGGCAGACATGCAGGCATACGATGAC